GCTGTCATCTTTGTCCATCACCAAGTTACATTACATGCTTCTGATTATATCATGGCCAAGGAAGCATACGAGCGATGGCGTCTCGAACATGTGGTTGTTGTTCAATCATATAACACTGACAATAGGCATTTATAAAAGCCAAGCATATGTCTAACATCTTAGGACCACCTTCAATCAATTAAATATTCTGCCGACCAGGTGCCAATGCAGAATGGGGTTTCTGGGGGAGCCATTAGAATTGTAGTAACCAAAGCTAGAACAATTATCTATCCTGCTGCACTTCTAAGGCGGAAGTTGATGATGAATCACTGTGGCCCTTGGCAGTCTCTCATGCAAGCTCACCTTTACAACCACACTCCGATTCGTTACTGCATTGCTTCCCATTGAGATATTTTCCAGAACTGTCGGTGATGTCAAGTCATCAAAATGCCCATCCGAGTGGGGATGCCTCTGCATATTTGTTGGAACCCGGCTTACAGTGAAGGAGAAAAGATTCCAATGGCAGCCCAGGTCAGGAGGACATATGGTTGGACCTACCTGTCCATTCAGAACAATTGCTATCCGCAACCTTATACCGGATACCTTTCCTCTCGTACCATTCTTGTCTATGATGATTGGTTTGAGAGAAGTTTACTCTTCAAATCAACCACCTCTAGAGTGGACCACATGTGCATCTTCCAACGCTTCGAGACCCTATTTGATGAGGACACTCCACCTCCTTAGCAGACGAGTGGCTACTCCAGAGGAAAAGGCCATCAACAGCACCGATCTCATCTTTAGAGCTTCGACATGGGAGAAATTATGGCAGGATGACAAGAGCAAAGATAAAGGGATGATCTTCATTTTCAGCTCCGTCTCCAGCACAGCCCAGGTTTCACACAGGGAGATTCCAGATCTCTGCCACCACTTCAGACCAAAATTTACCCTCTTCTTGGACAGGGAGCCTCCCACCAACACACCCCACCACTGATGTCCACATCGAGCCAATCTCTGCCCTCGTCGTAACCCAGTAGAACACCCCACAGCAAGAAGCTTGGGACTTGAACTCGCAAAGTTGAAGACATATGCGCGTCCTTCTCCCTGTTGAGTTGTGCTTTAGCTTTGACCTTTGGGGTTACTCCAATTTCTGGGCACATATGCAATCTCAGGTGAATGGTATCACCTTTGACCAACACCCAGAATCATTTCATCCTGGCATTCTTACAGCCCACTGGCCTCTCAGGCCAAATTTCCAAAGCCCTATTCTCTTCTGAAGGAATCTTGAGGTGCCATGCAGACCATTCTGGGCAGCAATGGAAGAAAGTTGCCAGCTTGAAGGCAAAGGGACTTGGCACATCGTACAGCGTTCTTCTATGCCCTCACACTTAAAGCGGTTCCTGGGACATGGGTGCAACGAATTAAGAGGTTACAGACGGACAATTAAATAAGTTCAAATCTAGATGTGCTGCAGAGGAGACCTTCAGTCCTATGAAGGCCGCATAATCTCCACTTGTTGGTTGGCCCCGTTAGAGCCGGTCTTCTTCTTGCAGCTGCACAAGGATGGGAATCGAGACAAGTTGATTTTACTCTTGCTTTCTGTCAAAGCCCTCAACCTGTGACCAGCCACTGTACATGGAATTGCCTCAGTACTACGACCCAAAGGCTATGAAGGACAGGACTGTTTTTTTAAACTTGACAAGTCATCTATGGCAGACCGATTCACCTAAATTATTTATGAGCATCTATGTCGCGGGATGATCCAACTTGGTTTCGAAACTCGCAGCAGACCCATGTTTGTTTATTCATAAGGAGCATCAACTCATGGTATTAAATTATTGTGATGACCAAATCTGCTCAGTCCAGACAATGATCTGATTAGTCCTATGTTGGCAGCTCCAGAAACTTGGATATGACCTCACCATGAAAAAAAGGTGACATCTTGATTCTCGGCATAATTTTGAAAGACAAGGGAGACAAATGTTGAGCTTACTCAAAAAGGCTCATCAATAAAGTCATCGAATATACTGGATGTCTGACGCTAGCAAAAGCTTTCTCCTGCGCCACCGATCCTCTCGGGGCTGACAAACTGGGGGCCCCATTTGAAGAAGAGTGGGGCTATCCAGCTGCAGTTGGGATGCTCTTTATATTGCGTCGAACACTCGCCCAGACATCACATTTAGTGTGCACCAGGTGCACGATTCAGTCACAATCCCAGACATACCCCATGCTCAAGCAATCAAACGTATCATTCGGTATCTGATTGGCACAAGTGACAAAAGGCATTTGTTTTAGCCTAAACTTGATCAGGGACTTGACTGTTGGGTCGATGCTGACTTCGCCGATTGTTGGATATGAGATGAACAGGATCCTGTGTCCGTCAAGTCTCGCACTGGATTGTCCTGACTCTGTTTGGGTGCCCTATTATCTGGTCCAGCAAGCTACAGACTGATATTACTTTGAGCTCCACTGCGTGCTGAGTATGTGGCCTTCAGCATGTCAATGAGGGAGCTGCTTCTATGCGAGCTTTGCTCAAAGAATTTGGTAGCAAACTGAATATGCCGGTAATTACTGACAGTCTCGTGCGCTCTACAGTGTTCGAAGACAACCAAGTTTGCTTGTCTCTTGTGAATGTTCCCAAATGTCTGCGCGCAACAAGTATTTGGTCATTGAAGTACCACTTCTTCAGGTCCAATATCGGGGAGTCGAAGGGCATCGTGGCAAGTATATTCCGACTCTGGAACAACGGGCCGACATTTTCACTAAGGTCTTCCGGCTCCACAGTTTGCTGTCATTCGAAGCTCCTCATGGGATGGTAATTTCTTCAGCACTTTGCTGGGGACTCTCTCCTATCGTTTCTTGCTCCAGCTTCATTTCAGCTGTAAGGAGTGCGACGGGATACAGCTTAAATTCAGCTTTACAGCTTTACAATTAGCAGGCTTATTCTAGAAAATATCAATAACTGCTCACTTATTTGGAAATACAAACTTTACATCTCTTAGATCCTTAGATTAGTCAATGCACAATGGTATTGTCGCAACTGCTCAGCCAGACAATAATAGTGACATGGCGAATGCCATGCTCATTCTCCCACTCCTTTACCATCCTCTTTGGCTTCCAAGTAGTGGGGCAATCCTCTTCAGCAATATCTTCCTCATCATTATTGTCAGCCAAGGAAGGAAGCTTTGCAACTGGAGGAGGCCTAGCTGTTACCGCAGCAGGAGCGACTTGGTTGCGAGGGACGAAACTTGGAAGAATGGGTAGTGGTCCATCATCATCTTCTGCTAGTTGTGGTCGCCTGAGAGCAACGCTAGCAGCCATGCCTCTGGCTTTGTTGAACTGAAAGCGAAATTGGTTGGTAGAGTACTTTTGGAATCGCTCATGCATCGCTCTCACAGCAGCTGGTTGTTTATCAGTGATGGTCCCATTGTGGAACAGTCGAAGAAGAAACTTGAAGTCGGGTCCATCCTGCTTGAAGATATGCTTCACAGGTTCCCCTTTCTTTGCCAGAGCGTTCTTTCTGGAGGACATGGTCGATTGCTGGGTCGATTGCTGTTGTTATCCTGCTTTGCCAATTGTTGTTGGTTTAGATTTGTGAGAGGAGGAGGAACAGCAGAGGAACAGCGCCATTTTGAAGAAGATCGCCATCTTGGTTGGCTGATAGTACTGGTATCAGTGGAAAGTTAGCTGTTGTGCAGTTTGTGGAGTTCGCTTATACCAGTACTGGCAAGATCGATCTTGCCAGTTACCACCGGCACGACCGGCACGAATAAAATTTCAGACACATGTGGTTCACTCCGAGACTTATCGGTCATACTGGTTCACATGGTCATTCTAACAGCTCGCGATTTTCTTCTTCCTCTCAGCCCATGTGCAAAGGGGAGGCCAGCGCTTTCCCAACGCTCAATCCGAAATGCTTTTCAATTGTTTCTTACATTTTCAGCTTCCATTTTGCAAGGGCGTTCTGTGGGTGTGCTATGCCATCACAGAACGCACCCACACTCAGATCGCCCTTTTCAATGGAGTGATACAGAAGACTACAAAGACCTAGCCTGTTCAACTTGGGCACTCCCTTCTTTTACTAGTAAAAGACAGTGCACCTGAGCCTTCTTTGGCTAGGAAAGGGGTCTTCTGGGTTTCTAGATCGCCTCCTAAAATAGGCGATCCAGGCCATCATGACGTTCCATATTGCTCTTTCCACTGGTGTTGTACACTGTTCAACACTAGTCTATCATGTTGGCTTATATTGGATCTACATCTCAGAAGTACACTATAACAGCCCCAATTAGCTAGACACATTGATTTTTGACCATAGCTTGCATATTGCTGGTGGCCTGGACGTTCCGACTGTAATGGGGCGATTTTGGTCTTTGGCGATGAAAGGCCCAGCTTGCCACAGTAAAACCTCATTATTCTATACAAAAATGTGACCAAAAACATGTAGACAATTTGAATAATTGCGCGAAATGCAAGCACATAAATAGAGAACGTCCGGCAGGCCCCTCTTAAGAGCGTTCTCATTCTGCCATTCCGAATCGCCATTCCTGTCAAGTGGTGTCAACCTGTAAAGTCAACCGGCAAAATGGTCATTATTTGTATTCCTCCACCATAACCATCTCTTTTCTTGCCGGTACTGATAATGGCATCTTTCGAAGCATTTCCTTTTTGGTCTTACAAGGTTGCTGTCGATGGTCACCGACTACTGGATTGTACATGGCGCTACAGGTAAGTAGGACACCAATACAGCTTCAGGAGGATCGTTCTTTCAAATGTTCGTCCATCTCTCACAAAATTGACTTTCGCTCATCAACAACCACAATGCAGATAACACCAACTACCATTATCAGAACAGCTTCCAACTACCAAGGTCTTACAGCTGGCGCGGTCAACCATGAGACTTATCGATACAAGCGGACATTTTGTGGCTGCTTTGGTGTCTGTCCTGAGCTGGCAGCGGAACTGTGGAACATGCTGGATGATGCTGATCCAATGAGCGATATCAGATGGGTAACCTACTTTCTGGCCACACTCATGTTCCTGAGAACTTACACTGTCACCGCTGTACTGGCCATGATCTTCATGAAGGATGAGAAGGCAATTCGCCACTGGGTGTGGGTGTTTATTGAGAAGATCGCTACTCTTGACTTGGTACGTGACAACCAAGCTAGCCCTTTTTCTTTTCTTCATTGCCGTCTCCACAAATACAGAGACCACCACAAATACAGAGACCTCACCACGTACATGCTACACCCCACCATCACTGCTGCTCCAAATCAGATGGGTGAACAGACTGATGAATGACAATGGCAGTCGGTGTTTGGTAACTGTTGATGGTACTGGCTTTCGCATCCGGGAACCAGATCCTTTCTCTACTAGTTGGTATACCAAGAAGTTCAATAGTCATGGACCGAGGTATGAGGTTGGTATTTGTATTCAAACTGGATGGATTGTGTGGATCAATGGTCCCTTCCCCTGTGGCGAATGGAATGACCTTGCCATTGCCTTGTCTTCTTTAGTTTATATGTTTGAAGGAGATGAGAGAGCTGTGGCTGACAAAGGGTACAGGGGGTATCCTCAGTACTTTGACTGCCCATGGAGAACACTTGACAATGAGCATCAGCGCACTAGGAAATCCCTTGCCAGAGCCAGGCACGAGTGTGTCAATAGAAGGCTGGAGGAATGGAGCTGCCTCCTTCAGAGGTGGCGCCATTCCCTTGACAAGCACGGTATGATGTTTCGTGCTGTGGCCAACATTGTGCAGCTCCAAATCATGGACAAGCCAATGTGGCAGGTTGTATACTATGATAGAGTCAATAATGATTTTGACATTGATTATTAAAATAGTATGTAGTTATTCTAGTGGCAGCCTCACTATTAGTGAAAGCGTTACAGTTCCTCCCACGACTCAGAGTATCCGTGAGTAGATTGGGTCATGTTTTATGAGTCAACACGATGGAACAGAGAACGCTGGCAAGAACACGTTCTCAACGAAACCAAAAAGGACACGGTAAATTGGAGTATTCGACAGGAGTAAAGCATCCTGCCAACGAACCGTTTCCCGCAAATACCACGTTGACTTCCGTATCAACTACCACGATGTATTGATCCAACACGCTACAACTAGCGTTACTGATCGCATCAATCAAAGCTCACAACACAGATTATGAATTACTAAGAAGCGAACTTTGCATTTACCTTGCACTCGTCTTGAATAGTTGCAGTTGATCTCGTCGGGCGGTAGCTACCTCTACAAGATCCCTCTATTCAAGTAGTATTTCCTCACGTTAGCAGATTAACAGTCCATTCTTTCTCCACGTTAGCAGATTAACAGTCCATTCTTTCTCCACGTTCCCGTTGAAAAGATTCGTCGTACATTTGAACGGACTACCCAACATGCATCCAATATCCAAGCTGGACATCACATCAAGCAAACCATTAAATCACCTTTCCCTGCTCATAATGTATGGCGACGCAATGAACCCGTTGCTACGGACACTATCTTTGCAGACAACCCCGCATTTGCACCGGAGGTCAAATGATGGCACAAATCTTCATTGGGCGTAAATCGCTTGTCATCGATGTATTCGGTATGTCTTCCACTGCGGATTTTGTCAATACCCTTGAGGATGTCATACGAACAAGGGGAGCAATGGACAAGCTTATCTCGGATGGACACTCAGCACAGACTTCGCGCGAGTAAAAGAGATACTTCGTGCGCTATGCATTGACGATTGGCAATCTGAACCCCACTACCAGCATCAAAACTTCGCAGAACACAGATGGAAACATCTTAAACGCAACCATAACTGGTTTCATGAACTGGCGGAAACGTTGATGCCGAAGCCTGGTTACTGTGCATGCAATGGATAGGCGATGTTATGAACCATACATCAGAGAATCGACCGGATGGAGACCACCTCTTGAAGTTCTCCCGGACAAACCTGGATATCAGCATTCTGCTCGTTATTCCTATTCTGGGATGTTGTTTATGTTCCACGATACAAAGACCAAGGGTACAATGCCCAAACGGACAGACAAGTCTTAGAGATTCGTGGACGCTTCGTTGGATTTGCCTGGAACGTTGGGCACAACTCACCTTCAAGATCCTCACGATGATACCAAACAGATATGTCGGTCCAGAGTCAGACTCGCAAAGGAAGGATCAACAACCTTAAACTTGATGTCGAATCAGAGAGCAATCCCAGAGCGCATATACGTCAGGTCTAAAAGAGACGAAGAAAGGCGATGATGCCAGACTGCCCACTATCGACATGAACCAGAGCCCTTTTGACCTTCCACGACGATGACGAAGAAGGGGAGATAGGGGAGACCTTCTAGAAGAGAATACTCCAATGGACGAACCACCTCTCAGGAGATGCCCCAGGTAGAAAGGTCAATGACGATGATGACAAATCGCGAACCATCAGAAGGACGAGCCTGAGAAGGATCATCTAGTGCGGAGGAGCCATTCATCTTAACAAAAGGCATATGAAGACTGACAATCCCACCGAATCAGGACACTACCTCCTGAACAGATGTTAGAAAGGACCTTTCTCATGCCACCCGCAGAAGATTGGAACCAGAGTAAGAGCCAAGATCCTTGAAAGAGTCAAATACCAAAAGGAGAAGTTCAACAACATCCCGACATGATCAAGTTCAGATGCAGAGTCAACGACGAGTACGAGGAAATCGTAGCCTACAACTATCGTGGACTACATTGAACAAGAACAAACTTGGGATGGCACATTGAAGTTCCGCAAGATCTTGGATACCAAGGTCCCATCAATCATCTGATAAGGAACGATACAAAGGGTTCACGGTACAACGTACAAGTTGAATGGGGAACCGGAGAGATAACTTGGGAGCCTCTTAACACCAAAGACAAGATGGGAGTACATGAGTCTGATCCAGCACGGTTGCCATCTATGCTGAAGAGCACGGTCTACTAGACACAGTTGGATGGAAACTACCAAGACTCAAAGAAGATCGCAAAGACTCAAAGCGACTCGTACGAGCGGTAACCAAGCAAAGCTTCAACTCCTTCAGGACCAAGCCCGTGTTCATGTACGGATTCCAAGTTCCGCGCAACCATGATCAAGCCATGGAACTAGACGCACGAAATGGAGATACCAAGTGGAGAGATGCCGAGGTGATCGAGCTTAATCAGATTGATGAGATACGAGACCTTCATCAACAAAGGAAAGGGACATAACCCTGGACCAGATTGGAAGAAGATTCGAGTGCATATGGTGTACGCAGTCAAACACGATGGACGACACAAAGCACGACTTGTCGCTGGAGGACATCTCACTGATACACCAGTATGACTCCGTCTATTCCAGTGTGGTTTCGTTACGAGGGATTCGTATCCTCACATTCCTCGCAGAACTCAATGATTGTGAGGTATGGGCAACAGACATTGAAACGCCTACTTGGAATATATACGAAAGAAAGGTATACGTTGTCGCAGGACCCGAATTTGGAGATCGAGAAGGATGCACCTCATCATCAGCCGTGCCCTATACGGACTCAAGTCTTCTGATTACGATGGCATGAACGATTTGCAGATGTCCTTCGTTCGATGGGATTCTTTCCTTCAAAAGCCGAATCAGACATCTGGATGAGAGACAAAGGGAGCTACTACGAATACATCGCTGTGTACGTAGACGACCTCCTTATCGTCAGCAAAGACGCATCCAAGATCATCGCGACATTGGAAGGGGAGCACAAGTTCAAACTAAAGGGAACCGTGCCATCAGCTTCCACCTAGGATTTGATTTCTTCCGGATGAGAACGGAGTACTGAGTTACGCACCTCGAAATATATTGAGAAGGTACTCAGCAACATCAACGAATCTTCGGACACATGCCCAAACAAAGTCTCATCTCCACTCATCAAAGGAGACCACCCAGAGACTGACACAACAGAGCTACTCGATATGGACACACAAAAGATATATCAGTCACTCATCGGTAGTCTACAGTGGGCAATCCAGATTGGAAGGTTCGATATCGCCACGGCTACCATGACGATGTCCAGATTTCGGGCAGCACCAAGAATGGGTCACTTAGAGCGAGTTAAGAGAATCTGCGGGTACCTTTCCAAGATGCGACACGGCATCATACGTATCGAAAGGAGGAACCGGATTATCAGCGATTCCCAAGAAAGAGTACGAATGGGAATACTCATGCTACCATGTGCCAAAGAAGTCAGCCGCACAACGCACCGTACCTCGAGGCAAACGGGTCATTCTCACCACATATGTGGATGCGAACCTCTACCATATCTCATCAGTGGCCGTCAGATACCGGAGTCCTACACCTAGCGAACAAGACTCCCATCGACTGGTTAGCAAGCTACAGTCAACAGCGAGACCGCAACGTTCGGATCCGAGTATGTTGCAGCCCGTACCGCCACTGAACAGATCATCGACCTACGGAGCATTCAGGTACCTAGGAGTACTGGTCGACACCCGACCATATGTTCGGAGACAACGAGACGGTAGTCAACACCGCTCGATGCCACACTCAAAGTTCTCAAAAGACACAATGCGTTTCCTACCACCGTACTAGGAAGCCGTTGCTGCAAGTATCTTGAGATTTCATCATATCCCTGATCTACTAACCCTGCAGATATCCTCAGCAAACACTGGGACTATACATCGGTATGGCCTATGCTGAATGCACTGCTGTTTTGGTTAGGAGATACCAAGGATTGCGTAAGAAACACTCAGAGTCGACAGTCGCCACTGAGGGGAGTGAAAGCGTTACAGTTCCTCCCACGACTCAGAGTATCCTGGAGTAGATTGAGTCATGTTTTATGAGTCAACACGATGGAAAGAGAACGCTGGCAAACACGTTCTCAACGAAACCAAAAAGGACACGGTAAATTGGAGTATTCGACAGGAGTAAAGCATCCTGCCAACGAACCGTTTCCCGCAAATACACACGTTGACTTCCGTATCAACTACACGATGTATTGATCCAACACGCTACAACTAGCGTTACTGATCGCATCAATCAAAGCTCACAACACAGATTATGAATTACTAAGAGCGAACTTTGCATTTACCTTGCACTCGTCTTGAATAGTTGCAGTTGATCTCGTCGGGCGGTAGCTACCTCTACAAGATCCCTCTATTCAAGTAGTATTTCCTCACGTTAGCATTAGCCATGGCAATTGCAGTCAACAATCAACTAGCCTACTGGACCGCCCGACGGTTTTCGCTCAGGATTTAAAATAAACTCAAATTTGCCACGACTGAGGATGGTTTGAAATATTCCTTTAAACATTCCCTTAAAGCCTCAACATTCCTTTAAATAAACATTCCCTTAACGACATTCCCTTAAGGCTTCGAAATATTCTCTTAAGCCTTCAACATTCCCTTAACATTCCCTTATTTCGCGTACCGTTCGGCAGCAGCCAACGACCAGTCATCGCGTCGATCCTCACTTTCCATGGTCGACATCGCAGCAACCACAAGCCACAAGGCACGACAGCACGTACATGTACATGCATGAAGTACTCGTACATGTTGTTGTCCTCTTGTTGTTGTCCTCTTTGACTTTCGGTGTTGACACCGTTGCTGGAAACATTCCCTTAACATTCCCTTAACATTCCCTTAAGGAGGTACCACCCGCTTTTAGTCACGAGTCGGGATTCACAGCATTTTATTCGAGAAAATCGCGACAACAACAACAAATTAGCGATTTCGTTTTTCCTCTTTGGGACTGGCTGTTGTGCTTGTTGTACTCATATTTGACAGTACCTACCATTCAGTTAAATCTTCGAAACATAGTTGTTAAGAAGGAGGGACTTGGCTGGACAGTTGCAGGGGCTCCGGTCGATAGGTCTCAGTAGCAGCAGACTTAGCGGTCGATTTTCGACCGATTTCAGAGTTAACACTGAACTAAACAGTCTAAGCCCCAGGGACTCTCCAACTCGACGGGGTTCTCTTGTTTGTTATATTATAAGTACTCTTTGTATTGGTCAAAGCCTTAACAGAGGTCTTTATTCTACTCAACTGATCAGTCCAATTCAGCGATTTTTTGTTGTTGTTGTCGCGGTTTTACTTGTTAATCCCAACTCATGACTAAAAGCGGGTGGTACCTCCTTAACATTCCCTTATCACGAATGAACATTCCCTTAAATAAACATTCCCTTAAAACATTCCCTTAAAGCTTCAACATCCCCTAGACATTCCCTTAAAGCTTTGACATTCCCTTAATCGGAACCAGATTATGAGTCAGTCGTGGCAAATTATAAAGCCCGAGTGAAAACCGTCGGACGGTCCAGGTACGGTATACGGTACTCTACTAGCTAGCCACTACTAGCTAGCCATTATCGTACATGCACGCCTGTCCTTTCGGGAAAAGTCAAAACGACAGGCGTCCGATGCGTTTTCCTGCTTCTCCCAGCTCCCAGCTAGTGTAGCGATTGAAGTACATACATACATGTGCAATGGCGTGCCTCCCCTTCTGTTTTGATTTTGTCTGTGTCAACTCAAAGTGAACTACCTGGTATTGATGGCGCACTCTGTCGACCCCGATGGCATGCCAAAACCACATAATTGCGAGACATAAAGGGTGATACTGCTGGCGGTCTGGTTCGTAGTTTGTAGTTTGTAGTTTGTGCTGGGTGCTGGGTGCTGTCTTTTAAAAATCTTCAGTACTACTGAGTACTAGCTAGTAGTAGATCTACGATCTACGCAGTACGTAGTCTAGCTCCTAGAGCTCCTTATGAGCTCAGTTTGAAGTTTGATGAGCACAAAGAGGCGAACAAAACCTCAGTACCAGTACTGTACGTAGACCGTAGTTTCGGTTTCCGATGTGAGCACAAAGAGCCACCCAACGAAGTATCCCAGAGAATTAGTGTTCCCGCTAATTATTGACTACTATACATAGTACCGGTACTATTTTATAAGACATAGTACTGAGTACTCCTGTACTACAAGGGGCATTACGAGTAAAAAGTGTCGGTCCTTCGGCGAATGGAGAGTACTCAGATCATAATAGTGACATCACGGTGCTTCTGAATTTTAGTCATTGACTTCGTCGGAGCTAAGGAGCCATTAAGTCATGAACTGTGACTGACAATACTTACTCGGGCAGGATTGGATTTACCAGTCATGCCAAGACAAGCGGTACCGGTACGGAGTAGATCGCGTATCGATATTGAGGTAAATTTAATAACAAAACAATAATGGTTTACCCCTTCTCAAGGCTCCAAGGAAGCACAGGCATCTTCGCAACTTAGACTACTTTCTCTTTTTGAGAAGGTTGGTTCTAATTCATTGGGAGCGCTTATTTCGCTCTCATGCTCCAGTACCGTACCGGTAGTCACACGATAGCCCTCGTGAACTCTTGAACCAGCTGTGGCGAGCCTTTGACCCACGCACTCAGCATAAAAGTACAGTAAGTACTGTACTCCTCGTATTTGTTTGTGTTCATCAGCATAGTACCAGCGTAATAGCCACAGAGAAGCCTCTTTGGAGTGAAGCCCAACAGCCAGCTAGCCAACGAGCCAACAACGTACGGTACCTGCAGCCTGCAGCAGAATGGACGACAGAATTATTGATACAGGTACAGATATTGATACCCTCCTCCAGAAACAGGAAAGGGAGCTTCGAGAAGCCAACAGAATGAACGACCCAAAGAAGGACAACAATGAGATGACAGCCGCCGCTGGCATGTCACCAGCAGAAGCCGCCAAGAAGAAAGAAATGGGGGCCGGTAGTACCAAAGTCGATGAGAATATCCCAAGCGATTTCTCTGAAATCGTTTCCCTGCCCATGCCCATGCCACGCCATCATCGATATATCGACGATCCATCGATCCCAGGCGCGTACGCTGTCCAAGGAGCGATATATGCGCCCCCTTCGCCCCGAGTCAGTGTCTCGTCGGGTTCGACTGGCGGCGGCGGTGACATTGAAATGGGGAGTCCAGCAGCAGTGCCTGCAGCAAGCACCAGCGATACTAATAACGATGGATTGGTGGAAGCACGACCTGTCACACAACCCCAAGCCACAGCCGATGAGGTGGTAGTCTTGAAGCACGAGAAGAAGAAGCCCTGCCGCGCCTCGTTGGTTCTGATCGTTGTTGCGGTGGTTGCCGTTCTAGTGCTAGCAGTTTCATTTGCCGTCGCGGTCACCAACGCGAGAACCGACGACGATGTCATTATTATGGTTACAAGCACCAAGCCGGATGACACGGAAGAAGGACAGCAGAAGAAGAACCAGACGTTGGATCCAACACTGGGCAGGTTACTCCCCAACTACACACTGGACGCTATCCGTCAGGGCATGTCTGTTCTTGATGGTATGGACAGTAATGCCACAACGAACGTGACGCTGCTGACCCCACAATACAGGGCCTACGATTGGCTTACCACCGATATGGATATGCAGTCTTATGCAGACGATCGCCTCGTTCAAAGGTTCGCTCTCGCGACCTTCTTCTTCAGCACCAAGGGATACAACTGGACTTCGCAAACCCAATCATTGCTCAATGACACCAATCACACAGCAGCAGAAAGTCTCCTTCTAAATCCAAATGATTACTTTCGTCCCCAAGAAAGCTTGGAATGGTACCAAGCCGTACCAGGGTCGCGAAAACGAGACGTCCAAACGGAAGAATCAGAGCGATCACAGGAAGCCTTTGAACCGTGGTTGAGTCCGCAACACGAGTGCCAGTGGTGGTCACTAGCCCCGGTCAATGGATATTCCACTTGCAACAACGATTCCTCTTTCTATGTGTCGTTGGATGTGGAAGGGAACAACTTGGCAGGGGAGTTGCCACCCGAACTGGGTTTGCTCACGACACTGGAGAGTATCTTTGTAGGGCGGGATAGACAAACACACGGACCAATCGTCTCTCAGATTGGCCAACTGACCCGCCTCCGAGAATTGCATTTGGGCGGGTCCCAGAGCACCGGTACCATTCCCACGGAATTGGCGCGGCTCTCGGATACGCTCGAGTACTTGGGCATTGGTTTCAATCGACTCACGGGAACCTTTCCAAGTCAACTGACGGCTCTCTCCAAACTGGAACAGCTCAAGATTGATGCCAACCGGCTACACGGTACTCTACCCAAGAACCTTGGAAGTCATCTTTCCAATCTTCGGATTGTTTCCTTCTATCGCAACCAATTCAATGGCACTGTCCTATCCTCCTTGATTCCATGCGCCAATCTGGCGTTTATCGACATTGCCGAGAATCAATTCGCCGACGAGATACCCTCCGAGTTGGGCACGTTGACCCATCTCACCCGTCTTTTCTTGCCAAACAATCGATTGCATGGAACCCTGCCTTCAACACTAGCTCTACTTCCCAAGCTAGGCAAATTGAACCTTCACAACAATGTGAATCTAACGGGGCCGCTGCCTCCCGAGTTTGCAGCTCTCAACCAAACTTTGACAGTCTTCCAGATCCAGGGCACTGGGATTACCGGGACCATCCCGGAGGCACTCTGTGGCATGAAAAAACTCAAGTTTGACTGCTCCGATACACTTTGTGGATGTGACTGTCCCTGTGGATGAGTCGGATGACAGCGTTGGCGCTCACAGCAAGCAAACGCATGCCATTAGCTACTACAATGCCACAGGCCCTCCATACGGTAGCCTAGCAACGTGTATGTGGTCTTTGACCTTTGCAGGGCAGATCACGGAGTTGTTCGGTTCTACAGATTTGCCGGGGGGGGGGGGGTTATTCCTGGCAGGCAGAGAAGCCTTCCAACTGATTCGATCTCCAGATAGATGTCCAGGGCAGGGGCGTCTCTACCACTTTGGCTAAAGGCACAGTGGTGCTCTAGATTGCCAGAGGTGCACTCCTCGCTAGCTAGTACCACAGGATAAATAGTACTAGAGTACGGTACCTGATATTAGACAGCTTCTTAGCATCAACTTTAGTGCTAGGCCTGTTCTCGCCTGCGCCATGTACTTTCACATGATATTGGCTATTAGACAGGCCAGGCTAGGCTTGTATCGTGGGCCAGAAACAACCCAATAGGCTAGACTGGCTAGACCGCTCAGCTTGTGCCTGGGGTGGGATACATTGCTGGGGGACCCTTGGATTCGGCTTCGCATGCCTTCAAAATTAAGTCAGCGGGAGCTGCGATACCTCGGCAGAAAGACAAATAAAGAAAGAGGATCGTGTTTGAGATTGCATCCTTCTTTCAAGGTAGACCTGGCGACAACACCCGACTTCGTCGTGTGTTGCCGCCCGGTATCATTCCCTCATTATAACCTTCTTTTTATGTAAGCTAGCCCTGGCGACAACACCCGACTTCGTCGTGTGTTGCCGCCCACTATCATTCCCTCATTGTAACCTTCTGTTTTATATTAAGCTAGCATTGGCGTAGCCACGGTCTAACCCATAATTTACAGCAATCATTCGATTGTGTAACTCTAAATTTACAACACCTGCTGGCTTATTGTGTTTTTGTCCTGAGTGCACTAACCTTAAATTACATTGATATATTCCTACCCCTAACTTTTATTGAACCTTCAATTTCCAGTTTTGCCAGCTTACATTATCTCTATCCTTATACCCTGGCTTCACCGGAATAGGGAATCCCACAGACACAAAACGAGGGGATCCCACAGACAGAATATTTGCCAATAAAGGGGTAGAGGACTCAGGCAGTTAACCTGCCGAGGTTGACCTTATCGGATAGCCACGACGCAGTAAAACTGGAGCTCACAATTGCCCTCAACTACCAGCTAGCTAGCAAGCTGAGGGCCTTTTGAACTTTTGCCCTCAACTACCAGCTAGCAAGCTGAGGGCCTTTGAAACTTATCTGGTAGTGTTGTGTGTGTGGTGTGCTGTGTGTGTGTGTGTGTGTGTGTGGTGTGTGTGTGTGATGTGTGTGTGTGTGTGTGTGTGTGTGTTGTGTCGCGTACATTATTGGTGCGGTTTCCCTAGTAAGATTAAGGCTATCAAAGCGAACACGTACATATGGTGCGGTTTCCCTAGTAAGATTAAAGCTATCAAAGCGACTGATTAGCCTTGGCTTTAAGAAACATCAAAAAAAAATGAAACCTTTGCCTTTAGATAAATGCTAGTTGAGGGCACACTAGCCTACGGCTGTCTGTCTTATCTTGTTGTGGTGTGTGTGTGTGTGTGTGTGTGTGGTGTTGTGTGGTCGCGTACAATATGGTGCGGTTTCCCTTGCAAGGTTAAGGCTACGTACATATGGTATGGTTTCCCTGCAAGGTTAAGGCTACCGCCGGCAGAACCCTTCCTTGGCCTTAGAAAAATACAAGTTGAGGGCACTAGCCCCGAGGAGGAGGATGCCTCCAATTAAGTCAGCGGGAGCTGCGATACCTCGGCAGAAATGAAGCCAATCGGCGATCCAGAAGAAGAAGAAGGCACAACAAACAGATGAGGAACGGCAGGCTGAGTTGAAAGTCAAAAGAGACTTCATGCAGAAGCATCAGAACAACAATCTATAGAAGAACATTTGATTGCCAAAATAAAGGATCAGAAAGGAAACAGATCAGACGCTTGAAAGGGATTTTCTTGATGACTGAGGCACAAATTTCAAAGAAAAAGCGCTGGATTGATCGAGCTTTGGAAATAAGCAAGTAAAGCTGAGCTGAAGTGGAGCGACAAAGCTAGAGAAGCTACGTGGTGTTGAAGACCTAGAAACCTCTAAATAGAGGATGGATGAAAGCTCAGCTTACATACATCACAGAACAGGCAAAGAAAGAAACAGCAATCTTAGAGCATGATTGGACGAAAGGCAACAGAAACTCCATGCGAAGGATCCGGGTTTCTACGAAGCAGAGTGCAACATATTTCAACATACGTATGATAGAAAGAAAATCGAAAGAGAGAGGAAAGATATTGCAACCCATCATGATCTACAACTTGAGCGGTTAAAGAATCACTCGACAAAGCAATTTGTGCTCGCAAGGTTTGTGGTGGCGGAAAAATACATTGCCAGGGTTGTAGAGAAATCGGCTACAGTAAATGATGCTTCTGTATCATTGTCACATCTGTATTAGCCAGTGGTCTATCTTACTGATCCTCCAGATTCTCTCTTTGTACATGTATTCAGCAATCTCAATGTGATCCTCTTCTATTGCCTTCTAA